TAAGGCTCTTCATAAGCAGAGGCAAAGGAGACATGCTTGGGTCACGTGGGACCGAAACTGCAACGATTCTCATTGGCTCCTGAACATTTGCACGTACAGTGTTTTCGGATGTAAGAGCAAGAAGATGGTCAGCAGTAAAAGGTAGCTGTTCAGTTGCATCGTTGTGTATGGTACATCGTCCTGTGAACAAAGGGTGGATATGTTTGATGAGGAACATAAGACTTTCGGGTATTTTATGGATGTAATTAACAAATTGACGTCAGTTTTTTATGTGTCTGTCCTCTGATTGATGATAAATTGCATCACAACATTGTCAAAGTGGCTGTGGAACCATGAGCCGCAGGCAAGTGGTTCCATAATAAACTTTGACAATGTTATGACAAAATTTATCATCAATAAGAGGACATACGCATAAAAAACTGATGTCAATTTGTTTTTTACAATAATAAGACCCCAAAATGGTTAAATGCTGGGAATAAATGAGGGGAAAAGACACCTTTAAGTTGCCGTAAACAAAGATAAGTGAATTTTGTTCAAAATGACAAGAACATTGTCAATAGTTTTTCTCGCTTTTTGATTGGCTACTGAAAAAAAGTCAATAAAATCTCATTGGTTAAAAAGTTGACAGTTTGACAGCTGAAAGTTAAACTTGAAATCTTGCATAAATTAAAATTTTATCCGTCTGTACTCTTATTGATGATAAAAATGAGCCAATCAGCGCAAGAAATTAGACAGTTATTGTAAAAAGGAATTTTGCAAGCTTGAACATAATGTGCTGGTCGATCAAACAGACAGTGACACACCTTTATTGACTGCAAATTTACAAAAACCTTCCCATGCAAAGTCAGGATGGTTCCAACTTTCACCCAAATACCAAAACAATGCTTTTCGCTACCTTTAAGCACCCAAAATACCCAGTGCTAGTGAGAAAATTCAGTTACACCCTCCTTTCCATGAAATTCTATGTGTATGTAAATAAACTAAACAATAGTTCACTTGTACTTACCGAATTTATTACTAGAATCAATAATTGATTCTAGTAATTATTTATTTAGTAATTTGTATTATAAATACAAAGTTAAAAATTTGTAAATTAACACCTGAAAACTACTCGTAACGTG